GTCTCGGGAGACGTAAAGTCGAGGGCCAAGGAGCATAACGCGGGCGGGGTGACCGCGCAGGTGTGTCTCGGGAGGCGTAAAACCGAGGGCCGAGGAGCACAACGCAGGCGGGGTGACCGCGCAGGTGTGTCTCGGGATGCAGTGGAAGCGAGAGTCGAGAAGCACGACGCAAGCGGGGTGACCGCGCGGGTGTTCTCGGGAGGCGTAAAGCCGAGGGCCGAGGAGCACAACGCAGGCGGGGTGACCGCGCAGGTGTGTCTCGGGAGGCGTAAAGCCGAGGGCCGAGGAGCACAACGCAGGCGGGGTGACCGCGCAGGTGCGTCTCGGGATGCAGTGGAAGCGAGAGCCGAGAAGCACAACGCAAGCGGGGTGACCGCGCGGGTGTTCTCGGGAGGCGCAAAGCCGAGGGCCGAGGAGCACAACGCAGGCGGGGTGACCGCGCAGGTGTGTCTCGGGATGCGTTTGGCCGTTCGACCGTCGCGCGGGTGCGGGCGGCCGGGTTGCTTTTTCCCTGGGGAAGGTCAAAGGGCCGCCCCTCTCGGGCGTCGCCGGTTTTCGAGGTTGATATGATTAGGGACTCCGTAATTTGCACCGTGCTATGTTTAAACGTCGTTCCAGACGTAATTATGGCGAGGCGACGTTTGCGTCTTCGCCGCGCATCTCAGGAGAGGAAAGGTCGCCGTTTCGGCAAGAAACCGGCTATAAGTAGCGCTCCGTTGGTCTCTTTCCCTTCTTGGTACTTGTATTCGCTTCGACCCCCTCTTTGGGTGATTTAGCCAGCCTAGCACTCTTCAGCCGCCCCACCTTCCCAAAAGCTCGGTAAGGATGGCTTCCCCTTCCTCATTCTCTCCTTCTTCGCCTCCTCTCTCCGGGGCCGTCGGCGAGGAGGTGGCGTTGGCGAGCTCCCGCTCGTCATCCGAGGAAAGGGCCACCAAAGCCCTTGAATCGCTTATGTGGCCGCACGACCTCGACTCCACCGTGAGCGAGTCGTCGCTCGGCCTCCTCCGGGACCATTACGGTATCCCGGCGGAGTTCACGCTCATTGCCCCTGAGCCGGGGCAACGAGCGTATGATCCTATACCTAAGGGCTTCGCCCTAACTGTAGATGCCTTTGAGGCCGGATTACGCCTTCCGTTCCACCCCGTCATCACTTCCTGCGTCGCGTGGTGGCGCATTTCTCCTTCTCAGATGGCGCCGAATTCTTGGCGCTATCTGGTGGCGTTCCTTGGGGAATGCTACTATGCCCAGGTCACCCCGAGCCGGTCCCTTTTCCTCTCCTGTTTCCGTCTGTCCAGAGGGTCGGGGGGCTATTATTTATCCGCCCGACCGGGTTTCCGGGTCAGTGGGGCTCCTTCCAGCAACAAGGGGTGGAAGGAGCGCTTCTTCTATGTTTGCCATCCGGAGAGTTGGAGCTTCGGGCTCCGGTGGGCGGCGCGCGCAGTCGATAACACTGCCCCGGCCTTGGATGAGGGGGAGCTCCGAGCCCTTCGAAGATTGAAGGAGATCCTCCCGTCTTTCAGAGTCATCCGAAAGATGACCGAGGCGTGGTTGGTCGAGGCGGGCTTGAGCCCGGTACCTCGAGGTATGCCTTGAGAAGGTGGCGGTAGGCCTTCCAGTTTTGCTTTTCTCTTTTGGGATACTAACCAAGGTCGTTATGTTTGTGCAGAGATGGTGAACCTCGCTGTAGTGCGTGGAGGACGCGTCTCGTCCACCGCATCCCCGCGGCGCCAGGTCGGCCTAGGCGTCGGCACTAGAGAGGCGCCGGTGGAACTCGAGGTCGTCCGCCCTCGAAAAAGGGCCAGGGCTGCTGCTTCGAAGAAACCGACTCCCCCAAGGGCTCCGGAGAGCACATAGGCGGTGGAGTCGGGCTCGCACGACAGGCGAGGGGGGCGAGGTCGGGGTGAGGCCGGCCCGAGCAGGGAGGTGGCGGGGAAGGCGCCCCGGGAACCTTCGATTCGGGACTTGTGTCGTCTGCCTGCGGGGCCGCCGAACGATTCCTACCAAGCGCGCCTGATGGGCGAGCTTTCCGAAGGCCAACCGTCCGACCGGTTGGTGGCCCGCTGGGGGGGGCTAACCCGCGGGACACGGGTGTGGGCCGATGGGGAGTCCGCGGCCGCGTTCATCCGAGGGGGGCTACACCCCGACTTGGCTCGCGAGATGTATACATTGCCGTCGGATGTCATGCTCTGTAGATCTATGAAGTCGCTGCTGTGGGTAAGTGTTCCGTTGCTGGCTTCTGAACTGTGGTGCGTCCGAGGGTTGTCATGACTTTCTTATTGCAGGGCCAGCACTACGCGATGGCACTGGCAGATCGCGTTCGTGACGCGGGTCGGGCCCTCGAAATTTTGTGCGACCGTAATGCCGAGCTACGCAGGCAGCTCGAGGAGGTCCGGGCCGGGGCAGCTCCGGAGGCGGTTGCGGCGGCCGAGCAGCGCTCCTCGGAGCTCGAAGCAGAGGTGACGCGTCTCCGGGCTGAGACAGGGGCGGCCGACAAGCGCACGTCGGCGCTGGAGACCGAGGTCCTTCGCTTAAAGTCCGAGGCGAAAGCGGCCGAGGAGGAGAGAGACAATCTCCGGGGGCTCCTGGGGGGGGGCGCAGTCCGAGGCTCGTCTAGCCCGAGACGAGGCGGCCGCCCTGACCCAACGACTGGAGGATGCCCTGGCTGACGCGAAGGGGGCTTCGGAAGCCCTGGTGGCCGAGCGGGAGCGGCGGCTAGAGAAGGAGAAGGAAATAATCGAAGCCTATAAGCAATCCCCAGGCTTCCAGCTCGGGCTGGTTCGGTCGGGGCAGGTTACCTACGAGTATGGGTACCGAATTGCCCTGGGCCGGTTCCAGACGCGCCATCCCGGGCTGGAGGTCGAGACGGATCCGTTTGCCTCGCATCCCGAGGACTTGGATGTGGACATGCCGGAGGAAGTTCCTTTCGATGATGGCGTCGGGGGCTCCGACGGTTAAGGCAGTCTGGAGGTCAGCTCGGCCGAGCTGCTTTTGCATTTTGTAACTTTTTGTAGTCTTCGGGTCTAGTTGCAATCCCGTGCTTCATAAATAAGGAAATCTTCTCCCAATGTGTCTTTCCGTTTCGAAAGTTGGGTCTTGTAATCTCATGCTTCATAAATAAAGAAATCCTTCCCCAGCATGTCTTTAAGCTTCAGAAATTGCACAGCTTCGACTCGGGAGATGTTAACCATGGGCACTGACCTCAGACAAAGAACTTTTTAAGGTTCTGGACGTTCCATGTTCTCGGCAAGGGGGAACCGTCCATCGCTGCGAGTCGATAAGTACCCGGTCGAACCACCCCGGTGACCCGGTATGGTCCCTCCCATTTGGGGGCCAGCTTCCCCCTCGTTCGGGTCGGGTCACTGACCTCGGCCCTTCGTAGGACTAGATTGCCTAACCTGATCGGTCGGGGTCGCACCTTCCTGTTGTAGACCCTTGCGACGGCTCTCTGGTGAGAGAGGGCCTTCAGGTGCGCGTCGGCGCGTCGCTCCTCGAGCACGTCGAGGCTGGCGCGAAGTCCCTGGTTCGAGGCCTCCTGGTCGTAGCTCCTTGTCCGAAGCGTGGCGACAGTCATCTCGGGCGGTAGGACGACCTCGGTTCTGAACGTCAAGCTATACGGGGATTCTCCGGTCGCGGTTTTGGGAGTGGTGCGCAGCGACCATAGTACACTGGGGAGCTCGTCAGTCCAAGTCGATCGGGCCGCGGACACTCTTCTTTTCAGGCCATCTAGGATGGACCGGTTGGTTACCTCGGCCAACCCGTTCGTCTGAGGGTGGGCCACCGAACTGAACCTCAGTTGAATGCCATGACCGGCGCAGAATTCCCGGAACCTTGTGCCGGCGAACTGAGGTCCGTTGTCGGTGACAATGGCCCTGGGCAACCCAAACCGAGTTACCAGGTTCTTCCAGACGAATTTCTCCATTTGATGTTCCGTGATCGTCGCCAGTGGCTCGACCTCGACCCACTTTGTGAAGTAGTCTACTCCTACAATTATATACTTCCGCTGTCCAGAGGCCGGTGGGAAGGGGCCGAGAAGGTCTAGCCCCCACTGGGCGAATGGCCATGCGCAGTCGATGGGGCTGAGCGGGACCGTAGGCTGTCGGGGTGCGCGGGCGTGTTGCTGGCATGAACCGCACCGCTGCACGTAAGCTTTCGCGTCTCGACACATGGTTGGCCAGTAGTAGCCTTGGCGGAGTATCTTGTGCGCCAAGGTTCGTCCGCCAATGTGTTCGCCGCAGATCCCCTCGTGAGTTTCATCTAGGACTGTCTGGGCTTCGTCAGGCTCCAAGCATCGCAGGAGGGGATAGGTGAAGGACCATTTGTAAAGCCGGCCACTTTCCTCGGTGTACCACGCATGTGTGCGGCGCAGACGCCGAGCTGCGACTTCATCGAGGGGAAGGGTTCCATCCCGCTTGAAGCGCAGCAGCTCTTGCACCCATGTGGTAGGCGCACCGCCTGGGGCTGTGGTCGCTACCTCAATGGCGCGAGCGGGGAGCTCCTCGATCTCCGGCCACGTTTCGGGGGTTTGTCTTGACGCCAGCCTAGCGAGCGCGTCGGCTCGTCCGTTTTCCTCCCTCGGAACATTAGATAATGTAAAGTAAGGGAATTTCGCGGTTAGGTCCCTTACCCGTGCTAGGTATTTGGCCATGGTTGCGTCCCGAGCTTCGTATCCGCCGCTGAGCTGTTCGGCCACGAGTTGCGAGTCGGTGAGGACGTGTATCGCGGCCACCTGCATCTCGAGGGCCAGCCTTAGTCCTGCTAGGAGCGCCTCGTATTCCGCCTCGTTGTTGGTAGCTTTGAACCCGAAACGGAGGGAACGCTCGAATGAGCGTCCGTCAGGGGCGAGGAGAACCAGCCCCGCTCCGGCACCCCTTGAGTTGGCCGAGCCGTCCACGTGTAGGGTCCAGGCCTCGGGGGTTTGCTCGAGATCTATGTCCATCTGAGCTAACTCCGCGATGAAGTCGGCTACCACCTGGGCCTTGGTGGAGGTTCTGGGCATGTAACTGATATCATGTTCACCGAGCTCCACCGCCCATTTGAGGAGCCGTCCTGCAACATCGAATTTTGTTAAGACCTGTCGAAGGGGCTGGTCAGTGATGACCTCCACTGGGTGCGCCTGGAAGTAGGGACGCAACTTCCGAGCCGAGAGCACCAGGGCGAGCGCGAGTTTTTGTATCGGCGGGTAACGCTCCTCAGGTCCACTCAGGATGTGGCTGACATAGTAGATCGGGAGTTGTGGACCGGAGCTTTCCTTGACGAGGACGGAGCTGACTGCATGCGGGGAGGCTGCCAAGTAGAGTCCCAGCTTCTCGCCGGGGGAAACAGAGGCGAGCCGAGGGAGGCTGGCTAGGTGCCGCTTCATTTGTTTGAAAGCATCCTCGTATTCCGATGTCCATTGAAAGTTCCTCGGGTTTTTGAGCGCCTTGAAGAACGGGAGGCAGCGATCGCCCGATCGGGCAAGGAAGCGAGACAGGGCGACGAGTCTTCCGTTGAGTCGCTACAGGTCTCTGACCGTCCGGGGGGACTGCATATCGATTATCGCCTGAACCTTTTCTGGGTTGGCGTCAATTCCTCTCTCGTGTACGATGAACCCAAGGAATTTCCCGGAGGTGACGCCGAAAGCGCACTTTGTAGCACCGCCTGGACTCTCGGGGGCTCCCGGTGACCTCTCCGACCCCTTCACGAGTCGGGAATTTGATGGTCTGGTAGTAGGTCGAGACGACGGCTTTGACCTTGTTGAGGGTCGGTCGACCGAGTATGGCATTATAAGCGGTGGGGAGGTCGACCACCAGGAAAGTGGTCATCACGGTTTTTGACTTCGGCGGGGTCCCCAGGGTCAAAGGCAAGGCAATAGCCCCCAGGGGTGATATTGAATCTCCCGTGAAACCGGTGAGCGCCGAGCACCTTGGGCTTAGATTTTCCCTGGCCAAGCCCAGCTTTTGGAAGGCGCCGAAGTAGAGTATGTCAGCCAAGCTCCCCGTGTCGACCATGATTCTCCTCATTTGCGCGTTGGCTACCTTGGCCGATATCACGAAGGCGTCGTCGTGGTCGGGGCGCTCGGCGGCCCCGGTTGGGAAGGTGATCTCGGGCTCGGACTTGTGTCTCGAGGCTTCGTCGGGGGCGGACCGAGCGTACGCCTTCCTGCCCGACATGGAACCCCCTCCGGATGCGGGGCCCCCGGCTATTACATTGATGTGTCGCTCGACGGGGCCCTCTGGGCGAGGCGACTGCTCTTTGTTCGGCCGGAGGTACTGGCCGAGATGACCTCTGAGGATGAGCTCCTCGATTTGCCTCTTCAACTCGTAGCACTTCTCAGTGTCGTGCCCGTGTTGGCGATGGAATCGACAATACTTTGAACGGTCCGCGAGTTCCCGCGGGTTCTTCATCGGGTGCGGGTCCCTGAGCAGCCCCTTCCCCTTCTCGTGTAGGAATATTTCAGTCCGGGAAGAATTCAAGGCGGGAAGGGGAGGCCTTGGGTCAGGTCTGTCCAACTTTCGTCGGGAGGCGGCGGGTTGTTGCTGTCGGGGCGGCTCTGACTTGACCTTTTTGTGTTCCTCCCGCTTTCCAGCCATCCAGGTTTCCGCGGCGATGAACTGACTGGCACGTTGGAGCATCTCGGGGACCGCGATGGGGGGTCGCTCCACGAGTGACCAGAAGAACCTGGAGGGCCGCAGGCCGGTCATGAAGGTCTGCATCAAGAGAGAGGGGTGAGCTTCCGACAATCCACGGATTTGTGTTGTAAATCGGTTCACAAAATGGGAGAGGGGCTCATCCTCCTTCTGGTTGAGCCCTAAGAGCAACGCCATGGATGGCTTCGGTCGGGCGTGCGCCAGGAAGTTAAGCTCGAAATCCTTGGCGAGCTGGTCGAAGGAGGCGATGGTTCCTGGCTTCAGGCCGCTGTACCATGTGCGGGCCGGTCCCCGCAGAGTCGTTGGGAACGCCCTGCACATCAGGGCGTCTGAAGTCCCGAATAGCGCCATCTGGGCGCGAAAAGCGACCACGTGGTCCGCTGGGTCGGCAGCGCCATCATACGCGTCCAGCGAAGGGAGGCGGAAGTGCGACGAGATCGCCTGATCTTGTATCTCGGGGGTGAACGGAGATCCTTGGTGTCTGTCCACTCCGAGTTCTCCCTTGGACTTACGAACCTCCTGTTGTACTTCGTCAAGCCTTTGATTGACGAGGCGCAGCTGAGCCCGTAGGGCAATTGTCGAATCGGCGGTCGGGGCCTCGGGCTAAGGGCGGCTTGCCGTGTCTTCCGCTTCCCGGCTTCCGGGCCGAGCTGTGGGATTTCGAGGTGAGCCCGGAAGCTCTAGGAGTGGTACGTGGGTCCGGGCAGGGGTCTCCCGTTGCTATGAAGGTTGTGTCGCCTGCGAAGGAGTTCGCTGGGAGACGATAGTCTGCACCGTGCCTGTCAAAGCTCGGACCTGATGAGCGAGGTCGTAAAAGGCCTCGGGCGACACTTGCAATGGGTCGGCGGGCGCGCCGCCGGGGGGCGACAAGCCTGAGTCGTTAAACAGTTGCCAGTAGCGTTCTGATACCGCTGCAGGGTGTTCGTCGTGAGCTTCGCCGCGCGGGGGATGCTCCCCTAAGGCGGGGGGGGCCCGGCACTTGAGGATCCACCGAGGCGGATTCGCTGATCACCTGACATTTGGACGGCCCTCCTTCTAGCGCCAATCTGTTACGGTAAGTAACTTTTTTGCCGTGACCTCGGGGTCGACACGGCTGGTTCAGGGCTCCAAATGGCTGGGATCAGACGCGGCTCCCCTCGAGGCGTTGCTGACGCAGGGGGGCTGGCTTGGAAAGTTATGTGGCGCCGAAGGGATCCAGCGACGGTCGGGCACCTGCACACAGGTCGGGTCGGTAGCTCGGCCCGACCCCTCCGACGATTAAGTTAGCGATAAAGGAGAGGTGTTTCTTTGGGCAGATCCCCTTGCCCGTTGGGAGCCAGGGGGTATTTATAAGCGGGTTTGATGTTACCTGGTGCGCCAACCTGCCGGGGCAGGGTCGTACCTCTGACGGCGTATGTCGTCGTTGTGGACGTTGCGTGGAAGGCCGAACTGCCGCAGGGTATGGAGGGTGTCAGTCAGCGCCTTCGCCTGCCTCGGCTGGCCATGAGGGGTCAGCCGAGGAGGTCGTTCGGGTACGGTGGGTGTGGGCGCGCGTCGCGTCGTCGTTAATGCTCGTTTTGGGGCAGTGGGCCGCACAGGGTGTCCGACGTGGGGGTGCATTACGTCAAATCCGGGGTGTTACGTCAAATCAGTTTTCTTACCCCTATCAGTAATTGTAGACCGAAGGAGCCTAGTGGTGGTTCCACACTGTGATATATTATCCATTTGTTCCATGGTTAGCTCTTTAATACTCGACTCCTCGTCATACCAAAAAATAAATCAACTCTCCATTAACTTGTTGAGACTAAATTACAAACGCAAATTACTTAAACTCAAGTTAATGATAGTCCACTCTTATTGAAGTAACTCGAGTCTTCGTCAACTATGGACATGCGACTAAATTTAGGATGATATAGAGGTGTCAATTAATGAAACCAAACAACAATTTAACTAGAATGGCACATCGAACAAAAGAATATTAAGCCATTACTGCAATATAAGGATCCAAGCAGGTATTCAATAATAACTATATAAAAAAACCACAAAAGGAACAAGGAAGATATCACAAACCAGAGAAATGCTGAAGGCCCGAGTTGCGAGTTCGGATATCAGCTTTCAACATCCAAAGCCGCCCAACTTTGAAGTAAGAGCTTCGATGAGCCCATCGAAGCTACTGAACTTGGAGTTCACCACGTCGACGCGAACTCCAAACCTCTCCACCCCTTTGGCAGTCACCGGGCCATGTGCACAGACCAGCATCTTCGGCCACCGTCGCCTCACCTTCCCCCAGTCCCATCCCAATGCCTGCAACCCCTTAATCAACCCTTCCACCTCTGCCGAGCTCGTGAAAACCATGGCGTCCAGTACTGTATCCAATGCCACCAACCCCTCCATGCAGCGCGGTCCCGTCCATCTGGTCTCGTAAGCAGGAACTCTCTCGGGAGCCCAACCCCGCGCCCACAAATCTCTCAGGAAGTCCGGGACTACCGGCGGCTCTTCCAGATCGACGACGGAGGGGACTGGGCACAGGATCCTCCTCCCGGACCCAGCGCCTAGAGACTCCACCAGACCGGCAGGGGACGCGATCTCCGGCACCAGGACCCTGATTCGGTTAGGGTTCCGGCAGATTTTCGAGAGAAATCCTTCATCGTGGAGGAGTTCGGCATCCTTGCCGAGGGCCGCGATGGTGAAGAGCTCGCCCGAGTCGGAGAGAGGCTGGGGTCCGTCCGCATCGGCGAGGCCGAGGGAGAATGCTGTGATTCCGTTGCGGGAGGTGAAGGCGAGAGCGGAAAAGGACTCGAGAGCTCCGGCGGCGAGGTAGGGGCGGAGGGCGACGAGGGTGCGAGGGGCGGTGTCAACGACGACGGTGGGGAGGTGGAGCGGTGTGGCGCCACGTAGCTCGAGGAGGCGGGCGAGCCGACCGGCATAAGTGAGCGGGGTGGTGAAGGCCACGCGTCGGCCGGAGAGTTGGCTCGGGAGGCCCGACGGCGAGCATCCTAGCGCCAATGCCGCCGCCATCACGAGGCCGGTCGTCGTCGCCGGCTCGTACTGGCGCTAAAAAGGATGGCGTATGGAGAACGATTCCATCAACCAACAGTCCACACCCGCTATCGCCTTCATCATCCAATGAGCAGTTCCGGTTCAATTGCAGAATTGGTGACGGCCGAGGGTGTAACCCTAAATTTCCTCCATGAATTTGGCCCATGTAAAGGCCAGAAGTAACGGCCCGTAAGCATTGGTCATCCGTCTTTGCCGTTTTCGCAAGACTCGAACCTGATCGAGTGGGCGAACAAAAGGATCTTCGCCGAACCCATGCCATCATGCGCCACACCGTGCGTCCGCATCGCTTCACCCTGTGCTCACCCTCGCTCTGCTGTGGCTGCTGTTACTGTGTCCTGTTCTTCGCCCTTGGTATAAGGTACCACCAAGAACTGCTCCGAGAAGTGATGCAAGCGGCCTCTTCCGCTGTCTTCAGCAGCGCTCCCAGCTCTCCGGCGTTCCTCCGATTGAGATCCCACAAGGGGAATTCTATCGTCGCGACCGCAGTAGGGAACCCCACCACCGAGTCCATGGCCGCTAAGTGGGCTCAGAAAACCGTCGTCATCCCTCCCCAGAGGCGTGGCTGCCATCTCATCACCTCCAAGGTGCCATCCTCCACCTCTCTGGTCTTCGTTTTGAACCCAAGGACCCAAATTGAACTGTACCCTTTTGTCCCTTTTGTTCTGGTAATGGATTCAGTGCTGTTTAATATGTTACTTCTTCATTGCTTGCTTCTTTATCAAATCATGTTTCCTTTCTGACTCGGATATAGCAAGCATCCTATTTGTGCGCTGATTTGTCGTTTACACGAGTCGATTTAACATCATAAAAAGAATAGGGATTTATGGGGTTTTTGACGGAAGCCCTTTTAACTGGATTAAGGACAATAGAAAAATCCTGTGATAATTCCAATTGGGGTGTCAGCATGCTGGATCAATCGTTGTTGTTTGGCCTGGGCATGCTAGGTTAAAGCAATTCTCCTTCGGTCCCATGTTTATTCTTGGTAATACGAACCCAATGCATTTCCAATGTTAACTGAGCCATCAAGCACTGATATCTTCTCAGACTGACTGAAATATTGATTCTATCAATGTCACCCTATGATTGATTTAGAAATGATGTGTGTATGCCACTTGTTGATTGCATATATTTTTTTTTCTTTTAAAAAAGTTAACTACCTAATTGTATGCTTTGTTAAACTGAATAATCAGATATTGAAAGAGATAGAACAAGATCTATCAGGCTACAAATGTGGCCTTGCTCATCTTTTTCGTAAGTGAACTTTTGCTTAATTCAATTCTCTGCTACTTGAACAGTAATATTCTGATGTTTCCCTTAAGCAAAAGTTATATAACAGTGCAGCACACCAGTGCTTCTCTCACCATCAATGAGAATTACGACTCAGATGTTCAGGATGACACTGAAACGTTCCTTAGCCGTATTGTTCCTGAGGTGACGTAGAACAACTCCTCTAGTGATTATTTCAAATCTGTGATCGCTTTGCTGCAATGCTCATCATGAATTGATGCTTTTGTAATTGACTTCAGGGGCGCTCTGCACCTTGGAAGCACACTTTGGAAGGTGAGGAATTCTTGAAGTAGCTCTTCTCATTCTCCCCATTTCTGTCTGTGCTCTTCTTGTTCCTCCTAAGTTTTACTAGTTGTATTACTCTTAGACTTTCAGGTAAAAATATTAACAGCTCATCCGCATTTGCGCTGCTGTGGACTTGTGATAATATTGAACTTTAATGTGTGCAGTTTGCAACTTATTTGTGTATTCATGTAGAAGAAATTCGATGAGCAACAAATAAAGCCTTTTTAAGGTCCTCTTTTCACTTAAGGCAGGAGTAACCTTAATCTTTGGTCACCAGATAAAAGACATTTAATGTGGAACCAATTAGTTTATCTTTTATTTAAATAAATTTAATTAGTTTAGTGCTATTTCGCATATGTAATAAGTTGTCATATATCGACATATACTCAACGAGGAGAAAAAGGAAGCAAACACAGAAAGCAAAAATCGGATTTGTTTTCTATTGAAGATTATGAGTCTTGACTAATAATTCATCTTTACAAGGTTGCGAATCTATGAATCAAGTTTATCATCAAGAGAAGAAGATTATTTCTCAAATCAAATTAGAAATATTACTTGCTTCAAAGGATAGAGGATATCATATATTGATTTGCTCATTGGTTTAAATAGGCACCTTAGCGTTCGTCTGAACTCAGGTGCCGGGTGCCTCGGGCAAGCACCCGGCTCAAATGAAGCAACCAAACTAGACTTTTAAGTTTGGTTCGGTTCAACAGTGGCTAGTTGGTTCAATCGAACCAACTAGCCACTTTCTTACCTGCAAAAGCCACCCCTCGCACTCCCGCATGACCTCGAGCTATCAACCCTAGCGCAGTTAATGCCTCCGCCACCTACACTTTCTATCGCTGCCTCTGCTACAGATGCAACGGACCGAGGCTTCGTCTGCTGTTGATGGACGAGTCTAACGGCTTAGCCTTCATCCGTAACTTCCTTCCGCTGTTGTTGCTTCCATGTGCAACTCCTTCCATCATTGAGGGAGAGTACCACAGCTTCCTTCACCATCGACGGACACCACTGAAGCTTCTTTTGCCAACAATGTTGTCGTTCGTAGCTTCCTTCGCCACCATCATCATTGTCGTTCGAAATTTCCACTGTCGATGACTATTTCTCCCCCTCTTAACAATTCTTTTCTCTCCCTCTAACTACTATCAACAGTAATTTAATGTCGTATTTTTATTTATATAATCATATTTATCAATCATACTATATTTTTTATATTTTAATATTTCAGAGCATCTCGTTTCACTCGGGCAAGCACCTAGCGCCTTGGGCATTTTGGGACCTTGGCATCTTTTGGAGCCTAGTGCTTTTTAAATAACTGGATTTGTTATAATTGTAATTTTTCTTATTCCTATAATTTTGTTTTTATTCTTATACTTGAGCCTATAAAAAGGGGCTAGAACATTGTAATGGATCAATGAATTGAGTTCTTCTCTCACCTTGTGTGTGAGTGGTGCAAGACCATAGTTATGTTTCCGGTAGTATGGCCTTACCGTCCATGCGCGAGACATGCGGAGGTGTGAGACCTTCATAATGGGAGTTCTCTCCATGACCCAGAGCTAGTTTGGTAGTTATCCCTTTGTTATCCTATTACTTTTCAGTTACTATCTTTCTATTCCACTCTTTTTGGTTCCTCTATTATAGAAGTAAATTTGTTGTTACTTGTCCTACATCAACATTGCTGTTGATTAATATGTATTAACTTATTTGATCAAACACAGTTGTTTTTTTGCCATCCAACAAGTACTGTTGTCCCTTTAAAAATACTCATTTTTGGTTTATTATTAAACTTGAAAATAGTGGAGGCAATTTTGACATTAATTGATTGAGAAAGGCCTTATTACTGCTCATAAGTCTACAGTAGGCCTTTGATGTTTTCGAGATCTCTATCATTGAACATGCCATAAGGACATTTTAAAACATTTTTGTTCTTTTTTTGTTATTTAAGTGAAGCAGCCCTTGTGGTCTTTGATTGGATGACATTTTCATGGTTTGAAGCAGAGATGAGCTTGCATTTACTTTAGTGATGTGGCACTTGGGACCATTGCCTGGGTTTTACTTGCCTATTTTGAGTGGTCTCGAATTGGTCAGAGTAACTCCTTTATTAAAGGAAAAGGTTAAACTTGTGTATTAGGTCTAGATATCATCAGTTTAAGTCTTAAAATGTTTCAAATAATCCTGCGTGGGATCATGACACTTAATTTGGCAATATTTGATCCAAGAGTTCTTAGGCAGCTGTGTATTCAATTGACTCATAGAGATCAACTAGGTAGATAACTTATCGAAACAAGTAAAGTCTAGGGATAGATCGAGGGCCTAAAATGGATTGACGAGGGTTATTTTGCTCAACTCTTTTAATGGTTGCTTTTGAAGGTGCTTTATGTTATGAGTGAACTTATCCAGCGAGGTTAGATTATGCTCTAAGATATTAATAGGGCTAACCTAGTTCACAAGATGACCACCAATACAAAGTTTAGAAATGATCAATTTATGTTGTTTTACCCCCTACAAGTAAAGATATCATTTTCGTGACTTGAATCATAGTTATTGAGGTCATAAAGGAGCAACCTTATAATTTTATTATGGCTTGTTGTCATTGTACTCTTCACATTGATTGATGATTTTGACAGATGAATATTAGTGATTCATGCTGCTCAAAGTTACACTACAGATGAATACTCTGAGCAATAAAAATAGGATATATCATTTGATTGGACAGGACTTGTTCCAAAGCATAAAAATATGTGAAAAAAAAAGCTAATGACATAAAGTAATTCTAGTTTACCTCATGTTTTAAGAACTTCTTGGTGTTATGCGAGAATGTGTTGTAACACAAAAACATATTCCTCGGATCATTATTTCTTATCAAGTTGGATTAGCACGAACAAATTTTGCATTATTTTGCTGTCCAAAGCAGAATTAATTGGTCATAATAATCATGGACCAACATTTCACTCGGTTCGGATGTGAACCGGTACGCAGACCGCCCCCATTCCAGGCGGTTCGGTCCAACCCATTTAAAAAGAGGAAAAAAAACCTATTTCCAGTCCACCCCCTTGTCAGCCGTTGCCCCCAATGATTTCGGGTACACTTCTCCTCTTCCTCTTCTTTCTTCACCCTTTCCTCCATCGCCTCCTTCTTCCTTTCTCTTCCTTTACCACCTTCTCTTCTTCCTTCCTCTTCCTCCTTTCTCTTCCTCCACCACCTCATCTTCTTGCTTCCTCTTCTTTTCTCCTTCCTCTTCAAGTAATCAATACGTATGTATAGATTCAGATAAGGGCCAATATGCTTTGTCAAAACAAGATGACAAACTATCATGGACTTAGTTAAAATTGTTTAAGTCGTGAGGCACCCTTGCGATATCCATCCGCAAAAGATCAGCCTTAAAGCAACTTCACACAGGTCCCCGAAGGGCTTGTAAAGGATAAAGATTTTAGTTCAGAAAATAAGTGGTGAACAAGTCCTAACATCTTGTAGAAAAGTATAGTTTGTGAGTAATTCAGCAAACACTTGGTGTGCAAAGAGAGAAAATAGAGGAAGGGAAAACAAGAAATTTGGAAGGTAACAAAACAACCACAAGTTCATAAATGACCTCTCAACCAGGTGTTGAGGGTGTAAGGCAAGTATATGGTTAAGTCTATGCACACTTTGTGTACAAATTGTTTGTCCAAACAAGGCCCAACACTATCCCAAAGCCCCATCCAGCACTGTGCCACTCAGGTGGTTCTAAGAGTTTGAGATGGTTGATGTTTACCACAGCACAGCAGCCTGCAGAAAACAGGCTCCAACACATGAAAACTGGGCCATTTTGGGATAGTTTTGTCTAGTCTGGCAAGCGATCGCTGCACAGCCTTGCAAACTACTTTTGCTAATAGAAACCCGGCAAAAATACACAAAAACAAGGCAAAACATAGTGCTAAACAATTGTACAAGCAAACATAAGCGACGAACGGTCTGTTGATGAAGGTATTATGGGCGCACAATGATCGGCTGTGACAAAACATACATAAAAAGATAGAAACACGAATAGACACACTTTTGTTCCTCTATGTTAGTTTCCTTTTCCTATTATAAGCTTCAGTTGAGTCATGAGGTTAATTGAGTTCAGAAATGCTATTTTTATCCTAGCAGATTTAGCTAATTCATATTTTATGGATTTGAACTTTTAATATCATAGTTTGTACATCATTGGTTTGTTGGTACACTGTACAATTTCTAAAGTTTCATGTTTTATGTAAATGTTTAATGTCATCTTAAATGACAGAATTTTCTAATAAAGCAGTTATTGGAATTTCTCTCGTGGGACAAATAGTTCAGATGTTAAGTTGAATATGTGTTCTCCAGGTATTTGCTTAAAATGAAAAGATGTTATCTGAATAAGTAGGTAATCTAAATGGAAAACTCTTCATTCTTTTTGCCCACATGATGGCAACTATCACTTCATCTTCTTGATTTGCATGACAAATAGATGACTTTCAACATGTATAAATTGTGTTTGGGTTTCTCAACCTACTTGGATGAGTGTAAGCTTATCTTAACTTTTTGTCCTTGCACCTCATTGGTTCTCAATAGTCTGCTTTGGTATAAAGTCACTGCTATCAATGTTATTGTTTGCTACCAAAGTGTCATTCCATCAAGTAGTTTCTCTGGCAGTAAGATGGGGCATTAGGTACTTTGCCTGCATTGAATTGGTGAAGCATCTAATGATTCTCAATTTTGTTTGTCATTTTGCAGGACCTGATGATATGCCAGCACATATCAAGTCATCTATGTTTGGTTGTAGCCTCACGTATGTATTTTTCATTTATTTTCTATAAGAGTTCCATCAGTTTCCAAAATTACATGCCACTGAGACTAGTTAGTTTATACCCAGGATTCCTATTACGGATGGCCGTCTTAATATGGGGACTTGGCAGGTGAGAAACTTCAGTTTCTAATACAATTGACATTATTTCTATTGTGAATTTGTAATTTATCCTAGAGATTCATGGTAGAAATGCTATTTTGTTATTGAACCAATAGCAGTAGTGGATGCATCATGGAAGGTTCATTCTGTGTTATGGATTTACATGCAGAATGTGGACTTCTGCCCGAGTTTTGATCATCCTCTCTAATCTTTTCAATGATTGGGCAGTTAATTTCCTCCCATCACAACCATCCATACATCCCTCCATTGTTACATCTCATCCATCTAATGCAACCTTGAAATTTATCCAAGAGATTAATTGTAGAGCTACAGAAATGCTAACTTTGCTATTAAAACAAACCCTTGCTAGTAGATCCATAATAGAAGATACATTATGTTTTGTATATCTTTCATAGAGCTGCAGCTTATGAATGTACATGCAAGATACGGGCTTCTGCTCTAGCTTTCATCATGCGACGTAAAAATCCTCTCCAGTTCTCCCCATGGCAGTCATCTATCGTCTCACGTACACATCGTCTGTTATGGATCCCGGCTTCATGCACTTGGTCACATCTCAAGAGGTAAATTAAATGGATAGCTGAGATGAGATGATGGGAAGAATGGTGGCTTATAGGAGAGAGAACTGACTCCTCAATTTCTACGTAATGAGGATGCAGCAATGCACTGTACTAATGGGAAAATGCCATCTTGTGGGGTTGTCTTTTGACATTCAAAGTAAAGGTCAAGGGGATTGAATGAGAAAGAATTCTTGTTTTTATTATAAGATCAGGATTTGATCAAAAGAACAATCTGCCTCTTTGATCATAAAATGAAAAATGCTTAACGTGGTTGGAAACATCTGAAAATTTCTCAACATTACTAGTCACGAGTCAAACGCTTATTTTTGTGGCTTCCTTTCTAATTAGTGCTTTTCTTGTCCTAACTCATCTTCTGTTGGTATCATTACAGGGGATATGGCTTTGTGAACATAGGGATCATGCAACTGCTCGCAAGGTTGTCATTACTCTCAATGGGATGTAAAGGTTTGAGGATCAACTAATATGTTGGAACTTTATTGTCCAGATGATGTTGCTTAAAAGACCCCCTTTACATTGCAATCATGTAATAAGCAGCAGCAAGATAGCCAATGCACTTGCAAGTTACATTATTTTCTCTACATGTACCTGACCAAGCTTTTGCAGTTATCACATTATTTATTATATTCTGTAAATTCAAGTTGAGTGCAGTTGTTCATGCATTAGTAGCCCCCTATCTTAAGCTGTATTGTCGTTTATTAGCAGTTTCAGCTACACTCAACATCGTAAACTAAACTTTGATAGCCACACGGCCATGCGACTGAGGGAAAAAGTACATTTTTGGTCAAATAAGATCTGATGTCTCCACAAGAAAACATCATGTAACGTAATCGCTGCTGGGGGAATATTTACAGATCAATGGCTACGTAACATAGCAATCAAATAATTCGACTATTGATCATCTACAACATTAAACGTAAAGAATGACTGCACAATATATATATATATATATATATATATATATATATATATATATATATATATATAGAAGAATGAGTGCGATTGACGCGTAGGAGAGCAGTTGTTAGTATTTAAGGTCGGGTCAAGAATCAAAGCATCATGATCTTGAATTCGTCGAAGCTGAGCACGCCATCGCCATTGAGGTCAAAGGTTTGAATCATCCTGGCGCACTCGTCGACGGACCTCGACTCGCCGAGGCGTTTGAGCATTCGACGGAGGCTCGAGGGGGTGATGCACCCCTGCCCTTCCGTTGCATACATCCCGAAGGCATCCCTCAGGTTCCTCCCCTTCTCCTCGTCCCCCTCCGCCTCCACCAGCTTCACAAAATCCTCCATTCCCAGCAACCCATCGCCGTCGGAGTCGCTCGACTCCACCGCGGACCGGGCGTCCTCAGGTGATATCTCCTCCCCTGCGGCCCTCATGCATTTGTGCAGCTCGGCGGGGGAGATCTTTCCGTCGCCGTTCTCGTCCAAGTAGTCGAAGACTCGTTCCAGCTCGGGAGGCGGTCTGGCTCCTTCCGACAACGTCAGGGTGTGACGAGGTGGCTCATAGATTTCCGCTTCTGCTGCTGCGCCTTTGTCGTGCTGCTTATTGGGTGACAGCATGCACCAAAGTCTACAAAGGATTGGGCGATTCTTACTGCTGCTTTTGTTTGGATGTGCGAAGGTGGAAGAGATGGTCGAAGTAGCTGCTGCAGCGGCCTCCTCCGTTGGATTGACGAGAATCAACTGTGACATCACTTGATAGGATTGCTTTACAAGTCGGAAGGGGAACTTATCTTTGATGATCTATCACTGTGGATGGTAGAGATGGGATAAGAAAGCTGTATCAACACTAGTAGCTGTTGGTTTTCGATCTCGTGGGATTGGCTGACATGCATCTCTACTTGGGATATCAGTGACTATAAATAGAGGGAGGGGGAAAAGTATTTTATTGTTGGTGTCGGCTGGTTGGGAAAGAGCGAGAGGCAGCTGGATCATTCACGGTGGGGGAAGCTTCTCGGAGAGGAGCAGTGGAGGAAGATGAAGACGATGACGGCAGACGGAGGTAGAGATATCATCGCAAGTACCTCATCGACTATTTCTAGAGAGATAAGACAAAACAACGCGTTGACTAATTGACACGGGAGGGACGTCGGGCGGCGGTGCGTCGCGTGAGAAGCGCGGCATAATATCGACACAAAATACACACAAACCCACGCAACCGTCGAAACAGCCGCCCACAGATGGGAAGCGAGGAGGGCCCCACCTTGCTGCCCACAGAGGTAAGTGTTTGCGTCAATTTGGTGGGAATGACGCGTCCCAAATGAATATTATCCCATCACGACGAGTGCTTCATAGCCTGATTTGGATATCAGAAGGGGATTTGTTGGGCCTTTCTCTCACCAGACGCCGCTGGTCGTCAACGTTCCTATCTGTTAACTGAAATGAAAAGGAAATATATCTTTAATAATCATATATGTCTACGAGAGAAAAAATTTATACAATACAACTACAACAAATATTTTCAGCGTCTACTCATTTATAACATTTTATTTAGAAGATAATTTGATTCATATACTTATACTTTGTATGTTGAATGTTATTTTGAATATCAATTAGTCTGAAAGTGATTATTACACATATTTATGTTTGGTATTTATTATTGATGTCTACCGAAATCATCTTGATTTGATTCAATTGCAAAGGAATAATTTCAATATTATGTTTGGAATGAAGTATTTAACTATCTAAAAAGGAGTGAATTAGTGTTTGTGTATACTTTAAAACTTTAATATTTCAATCTAACTAAAGACATAGGTATATGAAATTTAGTTTAAATAAGTAAATAGACATAAGTAAGAAAGAAAAATAAATTAGCTCGGTTGTCCTTATCATCATCCACTTTCAATCCTTCTTTTCTAATACTTATAACATGCTTCCAATAGGTGAAGATTAATTATCTTTTATAATTTTCTTCTTTTTAAGACTTAGAAATAAATCTTACACTTCAAATACTCTCCTCTCTCAATAAAGAATAACTCTTACAATACAAGAAATAACTTCTCATATCATAAACTTCAAACTTAAAGCTAAAGAATCCTTCAAAATAATTAACTCACAAACCTAGTGAGTTATTTATAAAGAGCCCAAGCACCTCCAAATCATCAAGTGCATCAAGAAAATGTATCCTAATAGAGGGATACTAGTGGTACTACTATCAAATTGCTGAAATAGTATCAACTGCACTATCCATACACTCAGGCAATGTCATCGATTGAGTTGGGTAGCACCACTACTAGGACTAAGTAGTACCACCCTTTAAGGGCATAATATAGCTGACCGACTAGGTCACTTTGATCCAATTTAGTCTTAAACTTAGATTTAGCCTAATTGAACCCCAAAATGCACCCAAATTTGACTTGGAATTAGGTTAGAAATATCAATCACTCTTCTGACACATCGTCAAAACTTTCGATATGTTATCCGGTTCTACCATATTGTCTAAACTTTTAGTATTTTGTTTGATCCTTTGATCAATTGTTCTATTCCCCTATATCTCAATTTCACCACGATATTCAATATCCTAAGAGTCACGAGAGGTGAGGTGGGACTTTAAGATCGTCGTCATGCTATTTGAGGATGGAAGGTTAGCAAGCTGCTACCTCCAGGAAACTCTCATCCCCTTACTAGCTAAGGAGGTATAGATAATATCCAAGTAATGATTAAAGAGGTAACTAAGTAAGCCATAATGTAAGTTGTGTCCACTTTTACGGTCTCACATCAATTTTCTTTTTTTAGCTCACTGATGAATTGTCCTTGCATAATAAAACTACTATTTATTAGCCAAGTCCATAACTTAAGCATCATCTCCTACCAGAATGAGGAGATGGTTGAGTTGTAGGTCTCTTGTTAAATCTTAAATTTTAATAATAAAATCAATTGATGAAGTTATGATCTAATATGTGTTTGAGTGACACAAGACTAACCTCGATCTAGGAAAGGTAATTCAATTAAAGCAGGAAGAATCAAACATTAGGTTGAAGTAGAACGTATCAGAAGATTGGACATCTGGCCAGAGGAATAGTCGACGTACCATAAGGACTTCGTGTCGTGAGTTCGGGCATTGGGCCAAAGAATCGGACATTGCACCAAGGAGATCGAAAGTTGTAGGAGGTCAACATGCTGATTTGGCAATACGCCGAAGGAGATGACGATGCACCGAAGGATTAGATTAATCATCGAATGAACTAATAACATACCGGATAATATAAGATTCATACTTATAATCATGTGTGTCTAAATTGAGTTAGTTAGATCTAATTGAGTTGATTTTAGGTGTAATTATATCAACTTAATTAGGGGCCAATTGGGCCTGAATCAAGGCTGAATTGGGCCTATTGTTTAACCCATTGAGTGACATATAATAGGGTCTAGTAGTGGCACCACCAGGTCTAATGGTGGAACTGCTAGAATCTTAGTCTCCCAAGGACTAATTGGGCGATAGTACCACCCAGACTGGGTGGTGGTACCACATAGTATTAGTGTCAGACTAGGTAGTGGTATCACCTAGTGTCAAATTGACAGGTGGTAGTACCACCAGTTGTTAATCTAGTAGGCGGTGGTACTGTCAGTACCCAAAAACCGAGAATGAGATCATTTTGACTCTAAATTTGAATCCATTTGGGGCATATAAATACCTCAATATTTTCTATTTGACAAAGCAAGAAAAGAAAACGAAAACTTGGGGTATAGAATGTGAAAACTATGTGGGAAAGTTGAGTCCCTCCTCCTTAAACTTAGAGGTTGTTCTAAAGGAGGTGTATAAGGGATATCTTGTAAAAGAGGGGTGTAAATATTCTCTCCTGAGCCTGTCAAAAGGAGAAAGAGTTATAAGAGTAGTTGATCTTCACCTATTAGAAAGAAGATCGGTAGTGGAAGGCAATGGCCTCGAGTGAAAAGGAATCTGGAGTGGACGTAGGACACGACGACCGAACCACTATAAACTCGGTTTGTATTTCTATTTATTATTTACTGCTATTACTTTCTAAGTTAATTGCTTAGTTCACTTACTCTAAATCAAGTACATTTCTGATACAATTTTTTATCGAATGAAAGTTTTCTAAAGTCGACGTAATTTTATGAAAGCACTAATTCATCCCTCCCCCCCCCTCTTAGTACCGAAACGATCCTAACATCTCCTTGGTGTAGGAGCACATCGCTTCTCTATAACAAAATAATGTCAATCAAGCAAACATCTTGAAGATGATTTAGGAGCATAATTTGTCAAATGGAGGATGATTTATTGAAGCTTTAAGGTCAAATCAACGTCTTATAAACTCGAGTGGTTGATTTGGACATAGCGCAAGTCAAGGAGGCATTGACCTCGAAGATAGCAACCAAAGTCATTATGGTTGGCTTCGATGATGGAGTCGGTCTTTTGCCTCTCCCTTTGAGGACGGCCAGGTACTCAAACTTGCAAGTCAAGGAGCACCCATTTACTAAGCTGCTTAAGGATGCAAACATTCAAACTGACATGAATGTGGACTTCAACGATGATCTTATGTCCCTGCTCGAGGAAGGCACTAGTACCATAGAAAAGGAAGCCAACGGCAGACCTATAGATAAGTAAGCTTAGGGCAAATGTACATTTTGGTTTTATAGGTCGGGTTTCACTTTTGTTTAAATGATCTTGACTTGTTATATCATGAAAGTCAACAACAGAACTATAGATAAGTAAGCTTAGGGCAAAGTACACCTACAAAGGTGGAAAAATAAGTTATATATATGTTGAATCTCATATTTTGATGATTAAACTAATTGATAAAGTTATGATCTAATCTACATTTTGAGTGACGGAGGATTAGTTTCGATCATGAAGAGACAATTAAAGTAAGAAGAATCAATGTTTGGCCAGAGTAAAATATTTTAGAAGATTGGACATTGAGCCAAAGGATTGATCGACATATCAGCAGAAGGCTTCAAGCCATGAGTTCAGGCATTGGGTCTAGAAGAACGGACATTGCATCAAGGAGATTGAAGTTGCGGAGGTCAATATATCGATTGGGCAAAAGGCCACAAAATTGGACAATGCGTCGAAGAATTGGATAAAGCACCAATGAACCAATGACATGCCGAAAAATATGTGATTAATACTTTGTAATAATTATCTAAATCGAAATAGTTTTAAGTTATAATTGGATTAGAATTAGGCCAACTCAATTAGGGGGCCATTGGAACTAAGTTAGGGCTAAGTTGGGCTTGATGGATGGCCCACTTGGCCACTTAGAGCCGTGCCAAGCGGTGGCACTGCCTAGGGTAGGCCGTAGAACCGCTTAAAGCTCAGCCTCCCAAGAGATCTGAACGGTGGTACCACCCTGTTAGGCAGTGGTACCGCTAGAGCCCAGTCTCTGAGACTCTGTCAGGTAGTGGTATCGCTAGACTAGGCGGTGGTATCGCCTAGTGTTAGAGTGTCAGGTGGTGGTACCTCCTAGTATTAGCGGTGGTACCACTAGTACCCCCGAAAACCCAGGATGAGATCATTTAAGCTCCAAATTTGAATCCATTTAGGGCCTATAAAACCCCACTCATCCCTACTTAGTAGATACATCAACTAAGAGCAAAAAAGGAAGGAAAACACTGTTGCAATATTATGAGAACTCCTCTCAAGCTCTAAGTGTTGGGTGAAGTTTAAGAGATGGATGAGTGATTGTAAGGGTTATCTCCTAAACCTGTAAAAAGGAAAAAATGGGTGTAAAAGGATGGTTGGTCTTCGCCTATTGAAGGAAGACCGATAGTAGACATCGATGGCCTCGAGTGAAGAGGAATCGGGAGTGGATGTAGGTCACGACGATCGAACCACTATAAAATTGGTGTGCTTCCCTTTCTCTACTTGTTTACTTATTTTACAACTACTTTACCTGCTCATTACTACTCTTGTAAATGTTTTAAGTTTAAATGTCTTTCCGATATGATT